GAAAACAATGATAAACCTCGTGAGTTGCTTAATAGTTCAAGGCTATCTTAAAGTATTCTGATTGGTTGCGCTTCTCAAGGTACAAGCTTTCGCCGTGTCGGTCAAAGTACGTCTCTAATTGTTCTGTTCTGTCTTTGGGTATGTATTCTGACACCGAAGGGCTTTTAGCATCTCCTTCGTGGCGAGCAGGGTGTCTACTATAGAGACCTTTATCCTCTCATCTCTTTCTTGCCACGTTACGCTAATGAAACCCCGGGCGACCTTGGACCTTCCAATGAAGAAGACAATAAACTCCCTCTATGGCACATGCGCGACGGGCACGATTTCCGTCTTGACGACCCTTCTGTTGAACCCATAGTCATCCCGGAGGTCGAACCCAAAGGCCACACCAAGGAAAAGACGGAAAAAACGATGGTTGATCCCAGCAGCGCCAGCTCTGTTAAAAGCGCCAGTGCCCCTCCACGCAGCGAATCCGGACAGGCTGTGCTCTCGGCACGCCCTGATATATATGATCCCGAAGCTGTATTACCCCACATTGACAGCGAGTACAAGCTAAAGCCTGCCCGTAGTCCGCCCCATGTAACGATCTATGACTATTTCCCTTTGTTGAGGTTCTTCAAGTGGATAGGGAGGGGCTTCAGGCGTAGAACAGCAGCGGAGAGAGAGGCAAGCAGGAAGAAGAGGAAAGCGTACTCAGAAATCGTAGAAAGCCATATACCCCTCGAAATCTACCTCGTCCTTTCCAAGTAGGCATTATCGCTTCTTATTCTTTTCTTAAATGTTAACTGATGATTGATGATCACCGCAGCTACTCGGCCTGTGCGTTACCCTACAGTTCTCCGTTTGTCGATGAACTCACAGTGTATACCGCTAATTGGCGCAGACCTCATGAAATACGACTTCGTAAAACCCGCGATCGCTTCTGGCATAACTGCCAATCTTTTCCTCATGACAGACACTCTGTCGAATCTTGAGAGAATCTGCAACACCCCTCTCCCTTTCGCCTACCAGGCTCATCTGAGGATGTCTCTTTGGTGCATCTTTATTACTCCATCTCACACTTTGCCTAGCTAACTAGCATCTTTCCGAATTTTCTAGGATCTATCTTCTCTTGTTACCCGTGAGTCGATCCATTCGGCACCTACGTTTGTGTTAACATGGTCATTTTTAATTGAAGTTCCAAATCTACTCATCCTACCATATCATCACCATCCCGGCAACAGCTTTCGCTTCGTTCTTGCTGCTTGGATTCCTTGAGATTGGACAGGAAATGTGCGCCACCTTACCTTTGGTGTTGCTTTGTCGAGGCGATGAGTACTGACCATAATGCAGTGAGAATCCATTCAATTACGACTTGAATGACCTCGGTAAGAATACAACGCCCACTATCATCGAATATCCGCCAACCATCATACTCTCCATCCACAGATCTGGATCACTTCTGCCTCTCGATTCAACGTGACCTTCACGAAATTACTGCTGTAGGTCGTTTTCTTTTAATAATGACTGAATCTGACCGTGTTTTTAGTACACGAACCACGAGCCGTCAGAATACCTCTTCACTAAGTTGTACGTTTAACGCCTAACTATGTTTTGAGATCTTTATTGAGGGTTTTCCTTGTACAGGAACAAGCCGTTGGCGCCGTCTGACCACCGCCATGCAGAAGAGTTGGCTCAGATGTCGCTGTACGTTCACAGCGCACACAATGGTAGCGTCGAGCCAGGAGAAAATAGTATTCGCAGGACACTCGTGACCGGGTGGAAGATGGTTGATCAGACGACAAGGAAGAATGTGTAAAACGGAAATAAAAGTACTTTTCATATACTCTGTTGCAGTTTTAAATTATGCTGGTCGTTATTACTGTTACATATGACTGACCAAGTGCACATTTATTCCCACACTGGCCCCGCGCGCGCGCCGCACCTCTAACTCAGAAATTCATGGCCTCCCGTTCCAGAGCTCGTCCCCTTGCTTGTTATACCTCACAACTAGTATATAATTACTGCAATACACTTGCTCTTTTGTCAAATTTCTGATTGACAAGCTACATATATCCAGCTGCTGGGGTCAACACACAAGACTTAGAAATTCATTCATGCTTGGTTGGCTCGCAGCAGATTTAAATCGAAGGTCCTCGTAACTTGTTATAACTAAATCATTGTTCCATGTGTCTGCTCTCTTGGTCGCATTTTGGAGGGTTCCTGAGTCGAAATTCAGCTGAAAGTCTATGAAGCTTGACTTTGCTAGTACTAAAAAGCACACCCCATGTCAAGTTTTAATAAATACTTTACATTTGCTATACTGTAGAGTCAATCAGTGGGTTTCTATGATACGGAATTTAGGTATAGGCACATTTGCCTCTTGAATTACTAGATGAAGTATGCAAGTTCTAGCGAGAGAGAGGCCCTTGAGGCCGGTATTTGCCTTCATTGTAGATATAATTATTGAGATGTTATGTAGATAATAAAGTTAGAGTGCTTAAACCTTCTGCTTTCCTCACATTTGAGCTTGGATTCGAGCCCGCCAACTCGATAATAAGCAGCCTTCGGCAGCACGGCCCGTCACCTCCGGGAAAACAGAAATGTACCACCGGTGGTAGCTTTCACAGTTGGGGAGTGCTAGTCCGGCTAACGACCCCCTTGCAGTATTATGTATCCGTATTTTATTCCAATGAAGAGCTGGCAAGGTAGTTACTTAGTAGCTACCTGAATTAGTCCCAATTTTGAGGTGCCGCGCGCGCGCAGAGACTGATGGCGCGCGCGCGGGAATAAATGTGCATTTGATCAGTCATAGTTACAAAGTATTTACGATACGACAGCCAAAAGGAAATCATCTAATATTTAATCCATGTACAGCAGCTCGTTTCTTGGATCTATCAACATGTTTCTTGTGAGGCAAGCTTGCTATCCTCCAGGTCGATTTGCGGCGTGAATGAAATCCAAGCAGAGTGTCAATGCTACGACCAAAGCCTATCGAGTGCCGCTCGTTGATGCGCAGCAGCGAAATCGACGGAACACCAGCACAAGTAAATGGACATTGAGCATTGTTGTGTCTCTTGAACAATTATATCCGGCCACCGGTGGCCCAACCTTGGGGCAAATGTAGGCGAGGGTTTGGCAACCACGGAGTTTTCGGCTTTGTGCTGAAAAAGGGACGGGACGGAGGCAGGAAACGGAGACCAAGCTCAAGGTCCAAGCACCGTTACTTTTCAATAAACAAAAGAGGACGCCACACAACGAAGCGGAGTTACTCGAAAAGGTAGTAGGGCCAAAGCGACATAAAGGTAACGATGACGAGCGGTGCCACTGGTGCCACTGCAAATCGTTGATTGCCGGAAAGCGAGCCAAAGCGGTCAACCGAGAAAAAGTATTTGAGCTGGCCGGGTAACGCGTGAAAGGGCACCAACACAACTTCAAGGCCCTTCAAGAAACACAGCAAGTCCTCTCCAGCACCCACAACTGCGCAATGTTCCTTCGTAGTTCCGCCAAGAAACAAAAACCCACTCAAGCTCAAGATACTCTTCATGTTGGAAATGGCGTCTACGTCCACACCACACCCTCTGCCACAGATGATGGACTTCGCGTTCGCTGGCAACCTGTTCAAGAACCCGACAGCCCGACTCCAGCCAACATGGATGAACAAATGTCTGAGCAAACTCAAACGGACGACTTACCACTTGCCGACAACGATTCCAATGCATCTTTCAGCTCTGTGTTTGACGGATCGCTCTCCTCGCTCTCCTCCTCTGATGGTGGAAGTTCCAGTGGGGGCTCTTTCAGCTCCGTCGTCGATACACCGATGTCCTCTGTACCGTCCCAAGGATCTGGCTTGTCTCGAGCTCCATCGTATCAAGATCTCCTTGACTTTGTGGCCCCGAAAGATGTCAAGCCTGACTATCATCTGGCCACTCCTGTTACACCTCAAAGGAGTGCTGGTCCCTCTCGCGTTGCTCATGGAACCCCTCTTAGACGCAGTCAACCATATCCCCCGCGCAACCCAGCGAGCCCTATGAAGGTTACACCTAGAACGCCGTCGCGCCCTCTCCAGCGCACACATGCCCAGCAGTGGATAATGGAAGACGGAGGAGCGTTAGTCGACATTGCTGACGACCCTTCCGCGAGTACACCCCCCATTGGTCCAACCACCAGTTTGAATGCCTTCGAACCTAACAGAGTGTTCGAAAAAGAGATGGCGGCGTTGTTAAAGCAGCATCAAAATATCCACGTGAACCTACAGGCTATGGAGAACACGGAGCAAGAAGATGTAGATCTTGAGCAGGATACGAGTTTTATGTTCCGCGGAGGGCGGGCAGTAGCCCCTGGTCAAGTGGCGAAGCAAGGCATGCCTCGACCAATAGGTCCCCATGGGACAGAAATCATCGACGAATCTTTTAGAGCTGGGCCAGGAGAGCTGGGTGTCTACCCTCGACAATGGATTGCTCACCAGAGCACGACGTTGAAGTCCCACCCAACCGAACAACAACTGGATACGATTATGGAACTATGAGCCTACACTTCAAGCAAACTTATGACACGCACATGCAATCTATGACCACTATGACCACTATGCCCTATGCCGAGCTCCTCTTCTCGTCTTTCTCTGTTCTTCGGGTTCCTTAGACTTCGTTCTGGGTGTGATCACATTTTGTCATTTTCTTTAGATTTCTTTGCAGATTACTGTACCAGCTACCTGTATTTTCTTTGTTTCCTAACTAGTAGACCTGCTTCACAATCTGGATCGTAACATTACTAGCCAGCAATCGTGCAATGCCAAGTAAAACTGACCGATATTGTCCTCGTGGTAGACGCTAGCGTTGTGGCCACTGAAGTACTGACAACGGCCCACACGAAGAGGTTTCTTTTGGGTATGCAAGTTGGATCGTTAAGAAGTGCAATTGCAGACATTCAGGCACCACGGTCTACTCAACTGAGCGCGAATGATTATTGTTGTATGATACAGCGGAGAAGTTATAGCTGAAAATATGTTTGAGACAAATATGTCTCTGTTAGTATATCGGTTAGTACACGCGCCTGTCATGTGGTCTTCGGATACCTCTTGATCGCGCGAAAGCTGGGTTCGACTCCCAGACAGAGAGTATTACCTTTTTTCGCCTCTGCGTACCATCCACTTGATTTGCTCTTTGGAATTACTTCAATCATTTACGCTGCGTACGTTTGGATAGTCAGACGTTCATCATGCGTCCTACAATGTGTCTTTATGGCAGAAAATGAAAGCATCAATGTTCGTCTTTTGACGAGGAACTGACTTGAATGACATATGGTAGTAATCCTATTTACCCTGTCTTGGAGTTATGTATTTGATCATTATTTTTGGACGAGTTGCCTTCTAGATTGCTTCCAGAATCACAACTCTGACCGCGAGTCCGTGACTGTTGGATAGAGAAGAAAGAAAATGAAGGGAGGATTACACATCACTTAATTATGGGTTATACAAGCCGGAGCTGTTAATTATAACCTTCTACTCAAGTAGGCTACCACAGGTGGGGGACGTAGATCTATTGTACCACAGCCCTCGATGGCAGATTCTGCAAGGAGGTGGCGTCGGTGCATGGGTCGAGAGAGCGAAGACTCTGAGAGAGGTTCGCAAAGCAGACAGCGTGGCGGCGATGTTACTGAAGGTCCATTAACGGCTGGACAGAATATGGAAGCAGTCCTTCTCATTCTAGACAGATGCCATATTTTATTGTTTGAAGTGGGGAGACAGAGATCTTTGAGACTTCGTATGCTTTAAGCCAAACACATGTCGAATCCTTCGAAAAGCGCAGCCATCATGGAGAACGAAGACCAAGCATTAAAGCCTCCTGCTTTCATTGTGGATTAATTGAATGCTGTAAGCGCTGTTCTTAGATGTGAATGGAGTGGGAGCGTGTCCGTATGATTGATATGTGCCATATCACCCACTGGGCTGACCCGGCGTTCTTCGACCGGCGCAGGTCGCTGAAAACAGCACATGTGCACACGCGTTGCCCAGCAATGATTGAGAGCAATGTAGCTGCGATGAGCGCTGGCCTTGTCCACATGCATGCATGTCTCGGCGTATCGCCGCCTAAAAATTGTATGGGTGGAGATGACGCCTGCCGCGGCCTGTCATGTCCTCATTACTGTCCGAAAATATCATGGAAAGGACCACGTCCAGAGCGGAAAGAATCTGAAATCTGTGTACCGTAGTTGAAATTGGCATGGTGGAGTCTGTCTAAAATCGTCGGTGTTACCACGGCGATGAAGCACAGGCCTCTTCAGGCCGAAAGGGAATGTAAAAGATCATGACTTAGCTAAGTCCTTAGCAAAATGATAAGTCTGAACTTCGAGGTCCTGGGACGTTAGTGAGAAAGTAACAGTGAAATAAGGACCTAATTTTACCTGATCAATGTATCAACAGTTCCCGTACATACTGGCTGTCAAGGTCTGCGGGACGGACATCGAATCAAAGAATGGCAGACATGTTGAACATGTCGGAAAACAACGGGCTCGCGTCTCTGCGGCGTGGAAAACGATATTGGCGCGGGAATAGCTCGAGAAAGCGAAGGATAACCGCCCAAGCCAAGGAGAATTCTTGACATCGGTAAATTTAGGTTCGGAAGGACCTGAGAAATATCTCTCGCGGAAAAGAGAGCTTTTTGCACACGGTTGCGGTATGAGTGCACTGAACGATAAACCGATGAGAGCCCGGCCCGTGAGATTGGAGTGGCGCAACATATATACTTATAATTCGTCGGAGAATGTGTGTATCTTCCGAAGTTTCGGGACCGCCGCTTCGCGAACTTGTGTCACGGAGAGCAAGCACAGTATCCGAGACCCGATTTCCCTAAAACGCCCAGTTCGATTGGTGAGAACTGCAGCAGCGCAGCCATCTTGGAAGCGAATTCGAATATATATCGAAGAACGAACACTTGCGATCATGCGGAAGGTCGCACTCCACATAAACTGCGGGCGAAGAGGCGAGGAGGCGAGCACGGCTTTGATAACTGGAACGAATTTTCATCGGGGCATTGTTGGACCAGGTGGAGTGGGATGTGGAAGACAACTTCCTTGTGAGCTTGAGGTTCAGTCGTTCTGGACGACAACTTCCTTGCGTCCGTAGTCTTGGGGCTTCAATTCCCTGGAATCAGATGCACCAACTCCGGAGAAAAGAGCACCATTCTGAAAGGCTTCAATCCACGATTGTCATCGATATCACAGTTCCTAAGGACCTAGGAGTCAGGGGTTTATCGATATCACTGGTTAACGTCCTCATACCGGAACAAACTGCACCAACGATCTTCGTTATGAGGCTTTCAGAAGTCCTTCCGCCTCGTGCCTCGCATCCCGGTGCGTCATGCAGAAGCCTCCAAAAAAGTTCAACTTCAAGAGAAGCCACGCGAGCAGATCATCGGCACAGTCCCGCGGCCTTTTGCTCTCCCGTTTGACTTATAAAGTGGCTGGTGGATAGTGTGGATGCCGTAGCATTGCAGGCAAATACTAGGAACTTCTGAGACCTAGGTCATCGCCATACAAACTTTAAATCGTGAAAAAGAGATGATATCAGTTGGCCATTGTACATGACGCCTGAGCAGACAGAGGGTCACCGCATGGCTCTTGCGACAACCCATGGATGATCTTGGGGTGGAAGCATGCAAATCAAGTGCGAGGTTTGAAAAATAGCGGAGCAAGCTGCAGAAATGCTTCAAATGGCGTACACGCGATTTAGGCACATGACCTGATTCCCTTCTGATTATCATTCCGTTCCCAAAATGAACTGGATCCCAAGCACCTTTTCCTTTGTTTTCTTTGACCACTTCTTGAACCACATCATAAGATCAGCCTCGGTACTTCTTCGCTATTGTCTTCATAGGCAGCCTACTATTTGCCTTTCCCAGCAGTTGCCCGACGCCCATTGCCTTTATTCAGATGCCACGCACAGCGACGATAAGCTCCATGCATGTGATGAAGGCGGAATGAACCTTGAGGCCCGATTCAGAGGCCTCGTGGTGGTTTACTTCAACCCTTACAACTGAGGCAGCAATCTGCAGGGCCTATCATGGGCACATAGCAACATATCTGGGAATTTTAGGTATCTGTACCTACACGAGTATTGGAACGATAAGCCTTAACATTCGGACTCAGTCGTTAAAGCTAAAGCTTAATCGATAAGAAAGCCCTTCTAGTTTTGGCACCAACGGTCTCAGGATGGACACTGCATCCTCAGGAATATCTATCCATGGGACTTAGAATCACTTTGCGCACTGCTTTCCTCGAGGTCTTCCAGTAAACTGCTGCGGTCCAACTAGACTATCTGGTGCATAGAAATCTCAATTATGTCACGCCGAAGGACCGAGGTTACTTATCCTAACGTCGTTATCCTCTTTATGTCTTGGGGTCGGATCCTGGCTTCACGAGTTCCATACTATAGTCCAAGGGTTTGTTAAACCTCGCTCTAGTGCCGCGTTCGATATCTTTGACAACACTCTTCGTCGTGAAATGATCTCACAGAAGGTCACACGATCTTCGATTTTTTGCTATCATGGTGTTCGAATATCTAATAGGAAGCTCAGCAAGCAAAATGCAATTTATATCTCAAAGACGACAGGAGGCGAGGCTGGAACAAGAGGCAAAATGAACACTGCGTCTGTAAGCCTGATATGCGCCAAAGTCTGGCCATCGAAAGCTGTATATCCTGCATGTCAATGGACATTCACACTCGAAGATGTCTCGCGCCATGTCGATACACTGCTGATAGATTCCAGAGGCATTCCTAACCTCCTTCCCATGCGATTATTATACTAACTTCGCAATGCGGATGATTATTCGTCGCCCCGACGAACAAGGTCTCCGGAAATTCAAACATGAGGCTGATGAAGAAACGTGCGGAAGAGTTCACTGAATGCTTCTTGCTTAAGTTATTCTGCTCCTCTGATTTCGCATCTTGTTATCTACTTATCGACCTCGTACTTTTACGATAGGGATTGGCTTCTTCAAAGATACATTTCTTGATGACGCTCGGCGAAAGTCGAAAACAACCGACTGAACGGAGAGGAGAGTAATTGCGCTTTTCAACCCCTCATGAAAGCCGTGTCCTTTTGGGAGAGAATTCTCTTTTGTTCTCTGCCGCAACTTTTTCACGCCATCGCGACCCAGCAAGGTCTCCGAGTCCCGACACAGGTCAGGACCCATGGCCATCGGTCAATCTCACGTTGAATTCGGGGGCCTAGCAACCAGAACGAAAGGGTTTACGCTTACCGCTAGGCCCCATCACGCCAATGTCTAACGTCGAAAATGTCCATACATAGTTTGCGTACTCTGAGTGAGAAGGTAAGAAAATCTATCTCATTGAAATTATCATCAGAGGCAATTGTTCGTTGAGGAAATTCTAGTTGCAAATCGATAGAAATACAGACTTGGATTGGTTTTCCGTGACATTCCGTCTGCCTCAGATGTTTTGGACTTCGGATATGTTCTTTTCTGGTCAACCCAAGTTAGTATTGCGTTATTTTCCAGAAATTTCGTCAAGGCATGCGTCAATTACCTCACGGGGTGATCTCGAGACCCTGCATCACTCGGACCGTAGATAGGAAGGGAGGAGTGAACATTATCGCATTTTTAATGGAGGGTATGCCTGAGTGTGCGCGATTCACCACTAGATTAAGGCTGTTTTTACCATCTTGAAGCCAATTTCTGAGTTCTCACTGGTGAATGAATTTGTTGGAAATGGAGAAGCAGCCTCCCATGTTCTGAACTTCGTGATATTATAATACCTTCATGGACGCTAACCTAAATGGACTTGACAAGGGAAACACACACATGATTGTGGTTCCCTGGCCGACTTCACGGTCGTTCTGTGAGATACGCCCACCTTCCGGATTTATAGATGGTTTATTGGGATTTGACATGTGATGGAGCTGTGCCCACCAAACGCACAAGGAGAGGGATTTCGGAAAGCATGCGTTCCCGTTGCCCTCCCAATTCACTGATCCATTCTGGTTATATTGTTTCTCCAGCGTTGCTCGGGAACGGATATGTAGCTGGTGCCCATGCCTAATGTTAATATCGTTTCATCAATTATTGATCTTTACAGAGCAAGGCTTGAATTTGACGCTTA